GCGCATATGCACACGGTCGTCAACGTGTTAATAGGCTTTACACAAAAAGTGTCTGGATTACTCTGAGAATTCTGGAGAGCCTGCTGCCCCAAATTCTGCAATATGTCGTGTTCGCGCTTGCTTACGAAGTTCTACGTTGGTTTCAGATTGTTAACCAGCAAGCTTTACAGTTTTGAACGCGCTGATTTGAGAGGGATGAGGATATCTCCAAAGCTTTCTTTTGCGGCAACCATTGATCCGAAGAGTGCCAGGATTTTACTTGGATCTTAAAAAAGCAAAGCCAGTGCCATCTCCAAATCACTTATTTCTCAAGCTGTTTTGAGTCACGATGAAGGAGACGTGGGTTTAGTGATCATTAACAGCATGCGTGCAATTTTGCTTCTCTAGATTTTCATTTTTCAATTCAAAATTCGTTGGTCTTAGAATGTCAAGTTGACAACTTATTGGAATCTGCTTTTGCATTTTTTTAAAAGTTTCCGCATCCAAACATAGCGATCTCAAATGGAAGAGTCTGGAATGAGCAATTATTCACAATTAATTTGAGGCGATCAACATCCGGCAAGGTGAACAAAATATTCATTACCAGATCAACAACAATCAATAACAAGCATGAAAGAGAGCGAAAATCAACGGGCAAACAATGTGAATTTTGATCATTATTATTGTTGGACACAATCTTTCATGAGTCGAAAAACCGTTCGAAGAAGTTCTGGTGAATGCAATGAATGAACGAAGATTTTCACCTCTTTTGATTTATTGCACTCCAGCGTGAAATTCTGCAAAAATCAAGTCGCTAAGTCTCTTGCAACTTCGAGCAGCGAAAACTGTAATTTTTTATATTCAAATGTATTCAATTATGGTTTTTTCCGAAAAATTGCTTGCAAATGAGAAACTTATTTCTGAGGCTTTTTCTTGTAACTTTGGTAGCGGAAATTTCAAGCCACTGACTAAAACCTACCCTGAAATCCAAGCTTACGCTCGCTTTCCAGTGAACTCTTCGAATCCCTGCCTTTTTAGCAATAATACCAGTGTAGAGTATGTCCTCAAAATGGTTGTAGTTAATTTAGCGCGTATTCGCAACACTTTTACCTCGAACATTATCGGCGTAGATAACAAACGAGCATAATCAAGAATGAGTCGTCTAGCTTCTCTACCCATTATATACATAGCTCCACTGCAGTAAGGCGGATAATATTTGTCCGGCCATACATCTTTGGAAACATAACTGAAGAATGTTATGGAAACGATGTGTGTCTTAAAATTTGATCATGCCTTAAAATTCTAAAATTCATTGGCAACTGATCATAACTTTA